ACATCAGCTTGTGGCATTGTTGTGTTGTGCTTTGTACTTTTTCTCACAAAAATTTTCAATTCCTGTCTGAAAACTGGATTTCAAGTGTTGGTTTTCAGTTCCTATGCAATGCTATTTGTTTATAAAAGTGGAAAGGAGAATAGATATTTTTAAAACTTTTTGGAAAAATGTAAAAAAAAATACTACACAGAGATTTCCCATTCTGTAGCTTGTGTTGTGATTGACACCCCCATCCAAGCAAAAGAGTCAGCAACCACCAAAACTGCGATTACCCAGTATGAACACAATGAATATTGGGCAAACCATTACAATTTGGACTTTTACATTTAAATATGAATGGATTTCCCCTTTGGCCTTTTTCTACACAAGCATTCTTTATACATAGCTTTTCAAGGTAAGCAATTTATTTTCTAACTAATAGAAATTATCTACTAGGCTAGCCTAATTCCACAAAAATATCTACAATCCTTTCATCATTTTAAGGAACAAGCCAATATAACCAAAATCTCTGCTGACATAATATATTAGGCTAATGTCCCACAGCTTGAAAAGTTCTTCACCCATTCTCCTACCCAATGATGTATGAGATACAAATCACTACTCCAAAACAGCCATATTAAATGGCATATTTTGTTACTGATTTAATCATTAAAGTGAAATCAATGAGTTAAATTAATGTGTATGCATAGAAGTTGTCATGTTATATTTTGCTTCTGTATTACTTATGAATATTTGAGTCTTGCAATTTTCTTAACTTTTAGCCTGAGGATGCAATTCTGCACACTTGAAAAGTTTTTGCTTAAAATCAAAAATAAAATAGAAAAGCAATTAGCAGAACATTTGTAATAGATGTTTATACTGCATTGTAAATTTTCACTGTCTGTTTTATGTCAGTCTAAGTTGCCTCATGGTAAAATGATCCCTAATATTATCAAAATGGACTGTCTTAGTCAATTTGTGTTTAGAAAAAATAATCAGACCCAATTCCTTTCTGTAATAAACTCCATGCACTGCTTGTTCAGGCATTCACTGTGGGTGAGGCTGAGGAGGAATTTTGAAGCCCATGGATTTGGTTTGTAAAGTTTTAGAGTTCAAAGACAAGTGAAATATTACCTAAGGGGAAAATCTCTACATTTGATATCATTAAGAAAAGTTGATACTATACACCAAGCATCTGGCTGTAAGTACACTACAACTTATTTTTTATGTCACTAGAAAATTATCAGGCTGAAAAAGTACATTTTAGAAATTTTGATAGACTCATAAATAATTTATTTGGTGAATATCAGTTTTTTAAGCATTTCTTGGCTGTTTCTTACTAAACCTGTGACTTCAGGTAAGCATTTGACAACTATATACCTCAATTTTCTTATCTCTAAAATGGTAGCAATGATGTACACGAGGCAGATTTTTGAGAGTCTAAGTATTGGCACTTGGTAAACAGACAGTGTCACACACAGGCACATTAACAATATACACAAAGTTTTCAGAAAAAAACGTGTATGTTGGATGACTGCTGGTGTTCAAGAATTACCACTTATTAACTCTTTGCCTACTTCTATGCATTCAAGAGTATTATCTATTCTGTCCCAGCATTTGAGTGTGTTA